AAAAGACCAAATGACTGTGGGGTCCCTGGTGCTCTCTGGGTTCTTTCCTTGCTGGCGTTTCATGACCCAAGTAGGTACCATCTTCAGTGCTAGAGGGAGTGGGGTTTCCAAGGGGGAGGAGGAGGACTGGGGGAGGGGGTGTCCCTGGTGCTCTCTGAGCTTGGTGGTTTTCGTGCAGGCGTTTCATGACCCAAAATAGGTAACATCATCAGGGAGAGGAGGAGGAGGGAGACAGGGAGGAGGGGCGTGGCCCCTGGGGGACCCTCACCTACCCCTTGTTCCTTCCCCCCCCCCCCCCGCAGGAAAGTGGTGAGGCGTGTCAGTGTGACCCAGCGCAACAGCCTCATCCGGAGGGAACAGGCCAAGGAGGCCATCGTGTGGCAACGGCAGCAGAGCGAGGGAGAGCTGGAGGACGAGGACGGACCGGCCGACGGGCAGCTCCCAGTCCAGGTGGGGCTCCGAAGGGGAGGGGAGAGGGCAGCTGCACCCAGCCCCGCCCCCAGCCCCGCCCCCTTTCCTTAGCCCAGACTCCCAGAGGCCGTTTCCCATCTCTGGGAAAGTCTCCACTCCATCCCGGCCCTTGACTGAGCCACCCATGGTCTTTCGTTGACAGGGAGTCCTCAAGTTACGACCACAATCCAGCCCAGGGTTTACGTTGCTAAGTGAGACATTTGTGAAGTAGGTTTTGCCCCATTTTGCGACCTTTCTTGCCTCGGTTGTTAAGTGAATGGCTGCAGTTCAGTTAGTCACGCGGTTGTTAAGTGAACCCGGTCTCCCCCGCCCCCTTGCCTTGGCTGGTCAGAAGGTCGCAAAAGGGGATCACATGACCCCGGGACCGTCGTACGTCCGTGCCATTTGCCAAGCCTCTGAATTTGGACCACGTGACCCCAGGGATGCTGCAAGTCCCTTTTCCCCCCAGTGCCGTTGTAACTCTGAATGAAGGGTTGTAAGTCAAGGACTACCGGTTGTTGCCATTGGCTTCAAATCGGACTGAGTTGCATCCGAATTCTCCCCCCCCCCCCAGGCCCTTTCCTCATGGACCTTTGCAGTGGGCCCCCCATCAGGCCTGCATCCCTCTTTCCCTTTGGGTCTTTGGCCTGCCCCACTTTCTCTTCTTCTACATCTTTTATTGTGGGGAAATACGGAGTTGGATGATATGCAGCCATAACAACATTCTTCTTAGAAAACCAAGGTCATCCTTTGTCTTTGCATCGTTGCACCCGACCGGAACTGGATGGGTGGAAGCTGCCAGCATGGCAGAAGGAGATTGGACCATGGGATGGGCTTGTGGGTGTGGGGGAAAGTTCTTGAACTTTCAACTGGGTGGGGGAAACCGGGAAGCTTTCAGATTTGGGTTAATGTCCGGGTTCCCAATAGCCTCCAAAAGTAAATCAGAGTCCGAGGCAAAGGATTGCTCAGAGTTCCTAATTGATGAAGAGAGCCATGTTGGCACATCTGGGGCAACCCGAATGTGAAAGCTTCTCGGTTTTCCCCACCCAGTTGAAAGTTCAAGATCTTTCCCCCACACCCACAAGCCCATCCCATGGTCCAATCTCCCACTGCCATGCTGGCAGCTTCCACCCATCCAGTTCCGGTCAGGTGCAACGATGCAAAGACAAAGGATGACCTTGGTTTTCTAAGAAGAATGTTGTTATGGCTGCATATCATCCAACTCCGTATTTCCCCACAATAAAAGATG